GGAGGGCGCGCCGCCAGCGCAGCAGCACGACGGCGAGCCAGGTGCGGCGGCAGCGGCGGCGGGCATACAGCCGGTTTCTGGCGGCCAGCCGCAGCAGCAGCAGCAGCAGCAGCAGCAGCAGCAGCAGTATCAACCGCAGGAGCACGGGCAGCAGCAGCAGCAGCAGCCGCTGGTGCGGGCCGCAAGCACGGCGAGCCAGCGCTCTGGCGGCCGCGGCGGGGGCGGCGCCGCTGCCGCTGCGGGCGACCACTGGCAGCCGGATGCACACGCCCCGCCGCATGCGCCGCCGCAGCCCGCCGTCGCGGGCGCGGCCGGCGCGGCGCCGGCGCCGGCGATGGTCGCGCGGCCGCCGTACGGCATGGGGGCGCCCATGTACGTGTTCCCCCAGCAGATGGCGGGGGGCATGATGCCGTGGGGCATGTACCCCCAGCAGATGGCCTTCCCTACCCCAGGGGGCTACGTCGTGTACCCAAGCGCCGCCGCGTATGGCGGCGCCGCAGTGCAGCCGGGCATGGCGCCCGTGGCGGCGGCCGGCATGATCCCCGGCGGTGCTGCCGGCGGCGCCGGCAGCGGCGCGGACGATGCGCGCGGGAAGGCCGGAGAGGGCGGCGCCGGCGGTCCCCGCGCGGGCGGCGGCGGCGGCGGGGGCGGGCGCCACAACCACTATAGCAGCAGCTACGCGGCGAGCGAGGAGAGCGGCGAGGGCGCGTTCCGCGGTGGCGGCGGCGGCGGCGGCGGCAGCTACGCGAGCAGCGGCTACAGCAGCAGCTACGGCGGGCCGCCGCCGGGGCCGCTCACGACGCTGTACGTCGGAAACCTGGCGCCCTCTGTGACCGAGGAGGCCCTGCAGGCGCAGTTTGTGCAGTTTGGACCTGTCGAGAGGGCTCAGGTGCGCATGTCACCGCCGCTGTGCTTTGCAACGGCGCAAACGGGGCCACTTCGGACGCCTGGCGTGCGCCGCGCCCGCCGCTTCGCCCCTGCGCGCGCCCGGCCCGGCCGCCCAACGCGCGCCAGCCCGTGCGCCCGTCCCCGCCATGTCAGCAAGCTGGCGGCTCCCCCTCACTTTTGCCCCCGCCCCCGCACGCCTTTTGCCCCGCGGCAGGTCATCCGCGAGCGGGAGACCGGGGAGGCCCGGGGCTATGGCTTCGTGACGTTCAGCGCGGCATCCCCGCAATCTGCGCCCGCGGCGATGGCGCGCCTTAACGGCGCCACGCTGGACGGCGCGTTCCAGGGCCGCACCATCCGCGTGTCGCCCAGCAACAAGTGGCGCGGCAGCGAGGGCGGCGGCGGCGGCGGCGGCGGGGCGGGCGCGGGGG